TATATATATATATATATATATATATATATATATATATATATATGTATATATATATACTGTATCCAATGTTACATTTTCCTTCAGTCACAACTCATGCAGACTCCTAATACTCTGTTGAACATCTGTCCATAATAAATCCCCACAAAAGACAATTCTCCTGTTTAAGTTCTTTATTTCCACTGGTATTTCAAAAACTACACCACGCACATCTGTTTTAAATCTTTAACCTTTACTAAACATTTTTTCTACATTCTCTATGATTTTCAATTTAAAACATTTGTTATTTTTAAAAGAAGAGAGCTGATTGTTGCAATCAGTGGCTCTTCTAGAAGAAATGGGCACACACTAACACACAAACAAGCTATAGAAAAGCTTTTCAGTGAGCAAATGACAACTTCTTTTTAACATTTCAGTGCATGTGCCACGCCCCCTAAAGGTACCACCCTGGGTGGTGGTGAGCCATTTTGCCAATATCCAAAACTGCTACTTGTTGCAGTTTAAAACTAAAAGTTGTAAATGTTCCTTGAAGCCTGTAAACAACTAAACAAAGAAACAAACAACAACAACAATGAATGAGGAAATTTGGGGTTTATAAGAACCGTCGATGACAACCCCCTCAATACTTGTTGGATAGTACTTTCTGATAACATGTGGGTGTTCACATGAATAAAAACAAGATTTTTCCGTGCACAGAAATGCCAAAACTATTGCACGTTTGAGCTTTTTTAATACTTTTGACTGTGTTTTATATTGACCCTAAAACTCTTGTATTAATAAATATCATGCATCTGGCCACACCGGAGCTGAACCTCCTCTGAAATGCAGCCTTCTTTTGTGCATGTGAGAAAATGTGGTCATGTGGTTTGTGAGGGGTTAAAGCAATCTGCGTGCGTACATATATTTGCTCGAGCTCCAAGCTTGCAGGCTTGTCTATTTCCCACAAACTCCAAACGATTAATCTAAACACTGTTAGAAAGTTTAAAGCGCTGCTTATCTTGACCCCTCGCTGTCACTCATCACATGTAGGAGGGAGTTTATTTTCTCTGCTCTTTGCTCCAATTAGTGCAAAACAGTCCGAGTTGAAAAGGAAGCCCGGCTTTGTTAAGTGTTATAATAATTCTGCCTTTTTGACCTGGACAAGAATTCTGAAGATGCTTGTGGTGTGTGCGTCTTCGTGGTCAAAGCAGACAGAAAATGGCCGTTGCTAACATGAAAACATGGCAGATAAATGCTTCGATCTTGTTTGTGAATATAACGTTCCAGACGCACTCCGCAGGGAGAGTGTTCTTTGATGGTTCTCATGCTGACACGTTTTTTTTTAGCAACAGCATTAAAATTCTTTAGACGACTTTTATTTTATCAATTTATTGTGATTAAAGAAAAACAATATTGTCCGGCCTTGGACGGCTGTGGCTGAGTGGTTGGAGCAGTTGTCCTCCAGTGCAAGAGTTGGGGGTTCAATTCTACCAGCAGTCACATGCCCAAGTGTCCATGGGCAAGACACTGAACCCCTCACTGCCTCTGATGTGTGTCCCATCAGTGTATGAACGTGATAAAACTCTGATTATTCTTTGTATAGATCTAGTAGAGTGCTGTATGAATGGGTAATGGAGGCACAGATTGTTGTAAAGATCTTTGAGTATCTTAATAAGAGAGAAAGGTTTTATATAAGTACAGTCCATTTACCATTTAAAGTTAATAAAATGAGGACATATAATAATAGCCTCATGATAAATGTGGCATGTATGCATCTGTGTGCATGCACAGGGCTGAATCGTGGGAGTCTACCCACACCACGTCTGAGAGAAATCCATCTTGGTTCCTCTCCTGCCTCTTCACAGGAAGCTGTCATCTGCTTCTTTGATGCTAACTAATGATGGGCCGAGCTGCTCTCTGAAACCTCACTAAATGCCATTCCCCGTGACTTGGGTTTCACTCGTTAGGAAGCCCTTATTCACCGTGCTGCACTTGTCTCTGAAACACACAACTTTCACAATCTCAAGGTTTCTTTTACGTGGCCAAAAACCTGCTGTGACAAAAAACACTACAAATGTTTAATGCAAAGTTGACTTTTACCATTTTATAAGGTCTGAAACAAGAACTTTGACTGTTTAGGCACTGTTTATAAAAATTGTTCATTATTTTTTTGTAACTGGAACTTGAGCGTGAATTGACTTTGTTACTGAACGTTTGAGTTCTGAAT